GCACATGCCTGTAATCCCAGCTACTCGGGAGGCTGAGGCAAGAGAACCACTTGAACCTGGGTGACAGAGGTTACAGTAAGCTGAGATTGTGCCACTGCATTCCAGCCTGGGTGACAGAGCAGGACTCTATCTCGGGGAAAAAAAAAAAATCTTTATTCACATTTTCTTTTTCTCTTTGAGACAGAATCTCGCTGTTGCCCAGGCTGGAGTACAGTGGCACAATCTTGGCTCACTGCAACCTCCACCTCCCAGTTAAAGCGATTCTCCTGCCTCAGCCTCCCAAGTAGCTGGGATTACAGGTATGCGCCACCACGCCTGGCTAATTTTTGTTATTTTCATAGAGACAGGGCTTTACTATATTGGCCAGGCTAGTCTTGAACTCCTGACCTCAGGTGATCAATCCATTCGCCTCAGCCTCCCAAAGTGCTGGGCTTACAGGTGTGGGCCACCGTGCCCGGCCCACATTTTCTTTCTATGAGTAATTTTTTCCAAGCAGGGCTATCTAGAGTAAAGGAGAAACAAGAGGCAAGCTTCAAAGGCACTTACACTTTCAGCATTTCAATAGTGATGGGAAGAGACCTGGTCCGACCCAGCGTACTGCTGTCCTCAGAAAAGCCGTCACTGTTTTCAAAGAGCAACGAGTGAGCTCTGTGAGAACCCTCCAGAGGAGGAGTCATGGGAAGTGGGCTGGTGAGGGCCTGCTGGATTCGAATATGCAGTGGGAGTGGAGGCAACCTAGAGGGTATATGGGGCTCCCCAAAGTTCTGGTCCAATATCCTCTTGGGGACTTCCTTTTTCTGATCTTCCTGCTGGGGAATCTCCTGGTGTAGATCTATGGATGGTGGAAACTCAATTTCTGGCACAACTTTAAAAGTCTTAGCAGAGAATGGAGGGGTGCGTGGAGGCTCTGGAGGTATATGAGCAGGCAGTGGCGGGGACGGAGAGTGAGGTGAGATCATTGATAGCAGTTCTGAGCCCATAGAACATGTGCTCTTCTCTCTTTCATCACTTGGTGTTTTTGTGGTGATGGCAGCAGCAGACTCCAAGGTGGGTACTGAGGTCAATGGAATGCCTCTCTTAGGTGGTAAGGGTGGGGACGGTTTTGATAACAATGTACCACTGTTTATTGCTTGGGACAGTTCAGCTGGAAAAGAGAGAGCAACACATCAATTTCACATGACTTTCCAATGCTTTGAAGGGCTGGCTCAGGGCCTAGAATTAAAGTTGAGTTCAGTTTTAATCTTTCAAGCAAGTTAAATAATTTCATAGTTTTGCCATTCCCTACATATTTTATCCTGAAACAAAGTTTATATTTATTCAAATAGAAGGCCTAATAAATGTACAGAGGTGTAGGAAGACTGATGAGTAGCTTACTTCATTGCTATGGCAACAGATATGACAATTTTTTTTTTTTTTTTGAGACAGGGTCTCACTCTCTCGCCCAGACTGGAGTGCAGTGCGCGCGATCTTGGTTTACCGCAACCTCTGCCTCCCAGGCTCAAGTGATTCTCCTGCCTCAGCCTACCAAGTAGCTGAGATTACAGGCACATGCCACTATGGCCCGGCTAATTTTTGTATTTTTAGTAGAGATGGGGTTTCACCATGTTGGCCAGGTTGGTCTCGAACTCCTGACCTCAAATGATCCACCTGCCTTGGCCTCTCAAAGTGTTGGGATTACAGGCGTGAGCCACGGCACCCGGCTGACAACTTTTTGTAATTTGATCTTTGTGTAGTTAATATGAATAGAGACAAAGACATCCAACAAAAAGTTATTTTGTGGCTGGGCACGGTGGCTCACGCCTGTAATCCCAATACTTTGGGAGGCCGAGGTGGGCAGATTACTTGAGGTCAGGAGTTCGAGACCAGCCTGGCCAACATGATGAAACCCCGTCTACTTAAAAAACAAAAACGGCCGGGCGCGGTGGCTCATGCCTGTAATCCCAGCACTTTGGGAGGCTGAGGCAGGCGAATCACAAGGTCAGGAGATCGAGACCACGGTGAAACCCTGTCTCTACTAAAAATACAAAAAAAAATGAGCCGGGCGAGGTGGCGGGCGCCTGTAGTCCCAGCTACTCGGGAGGCTGGGGCAGGAGAATGGCGTGAACCCAGGAGGCGGAGCTTGCAGTGAGCCAGGATCGCGCCACTGCACTCCAGCTTGGGCGACAAAGCAAGACTCCGTCTTAAAAACAAAAAAAAACAAAAAAAACCCAAAAAAAAACCACAAAACAACAACAACAACCCAAAAAAAACCCAAAAATTAGCTAGGTGTAGTGGCAGGCACCTGTAATCCCAGCTACTGCCTCAGCCTACCAAGTAGCTGAGATTACAGGCACATGCCACTATGGCCCGGCTAATTTTTGTATTTTTAGTAGAGATGGGGTTTCACCATGTTGGCCAGGTTGGTCTCGAACTCCTGACCTCGTGATCCACCCGCCTCAGCCTCCCAAAGTGCTGGGCTTACAGGTGTGGGCCACCGTGCCCGGCCCACATTTTCTTTCTATGAGTAATTTTTTCCAAGCAGGGCTATCTAGAGTAAAGGAGAAACAAGAGGCAAGCTTCAAAGGCACTTACACTTTCAGCATTTCAATAGTGATGGGAAGAGACCTGGTCCGACCCAGCGTACTGCTGTCCTCAGAAAAGCCGTCACTGTTTTCAAAGAGCAACGAGTGAGCTCTGTGAGAACCCTCCAGAGGAGGAGTCATGGGAAGTGGGCTGGTGAGGGCCTGCTGGATTCGAATATGCAGTGGGAGTGGAGGCAACCTAGAGGGTATATGGGGCTCCCCAAAGTTCTGGTCCAATATCCTCTTGGGGACTTCCTTTTTCTGATCTTCCTGCTGGGGAATCTCCTGGTGTAGATCTATGGATGGTGGAAACTCAATTTCTGGCACAACTTTAAAAGTCTTAGCAGAGAATGGAGGGGTGCGTGGAGGCTCTGGAGGTATATGAGCAGGCAGTGGCGGGGACGGAGAGGGAGGTGAGATCATTGATAGCAGTTCTGAGCCCATAGAACATGTGCTCTTCTCTCTTTCATCACTTGGTGTTTTTGTGGTGATGGCAGCAGCAGACTCCAAGGTGGGTACTGAGGTCAATGGAATGCCTCTCTTAGGTGGTAAGGGTGGGGACGGTTTTGATAACAATGTACCACTGTTTATTGCTTGGGACAGTTCAGCTGGAAAAGAGAGAGCAACACATCAATTTCACATGACTTTCCAATGCTTTGAAGGGCTGGCTCAGGGCCTAGAATTAAAGTTGAGTTCAGTTTTAATCTTTCAAGCAAGTTAAATAATTTCATAGTTTTGCCATTCCCTACATATTTTATCCTGAAACAAAGTTTATATTTATTCAAATAGAAGGCCTAATAAATGTACAGAGGTGTAGGAAGACTGATGAGTAGCTTACTTCATTGCTATGGCAACAGATTTGGCAATTTTTTTTTTTTTTTGAGACAGGGTCTCACTCTCTCGCCCAGACTGGAGTGCAGTGCGCGCGATCTTGGTTTACCGCAACCTCTGCCTCCCAGGCTCAAGTGATTCTCCTGCCTCAGCCTACCAAGTAGCTGAGATTACAGGCACATGCCACTATGGCCCGGCTAATTTTTGTATTTTTAGTAGAGATGGGGTTTCACTGTGTTAGCCAGGATGGTCTCATAATCTCCTGACCTCGTGATCTGCCCACCTTGGCCTCCCAAAGTGCTGGGATTACAGGTGTGAGCCACCGCGCCCGGCCTACTGTCTCTAATTTTTATTACTGTGTACACCTCTTATGTTCCCTTTGCACCTCAGCTTCCCATGTTCACTCTCCACTATATGATGGGCTCCTTGATGGCAGGGCAACCTTGTCTCCATCAACATATCATCCACAGGGCTGTGCACAGTACCTGGCATCTAGTGGACCCTCAATATATGCTTATGAGATGAGAAGCCCTCACCCTGTATCATGACAGTATATATTCCTATGGTTTCACCAAAGCCCACAATGACTCAGCAAAGGTGTTGTTGTTTCAGCAAAATTCCTTTGGAGGGCTGCAGAAGACCTGTAAAAGTGGATCATCAGATCACACAGGAGCAAAACTGGTAAAATAATTAGAGTAGTCATTTTTTCCCTGCTGAAAGCAAAAAAAAAAAAAAAAAAAAGTAGTTCTTTTGATCACCAACCTGTAACCTACTCAAACCCTTTATTTTTATTTTCATCCCACTCAGTATTCTCAAATGGTCTCAAAAACTTCCCTTAAATAAAACTGTATTTGTCCTAAATCCCAAAAATTGGAGACGTTCAAAGTAAAAGACCAGCTAATTATTTTTTTCTTTTTTGAGACGGAGTTTTGCTCTTGCTGCCCAGGCTGGAGTGCAATGGCACCATCTCAGTTAACCACAACGTCTACCTCCTAGGTTCAAGTGATTCTCCTACCTGAGCCTCCCAAGTAGCTGGGATTATAGGCACGCGCCACCAGGCCCGGCTAATTTTTTGTATTTTTAGTAGAGACAGGTTTCTTTATGTTGGTCAGGCTGGTCTTGAACTCCCGACCCCAGGTGATCCATCCACCTCGGCCTCCCAAAGTGCTGGGATTACAGGTGTGTGCCACTGTGCCCGGCCAAGGCTAGCTAATTTTGTAATTCTTCTTTTTTCTTTTGAAACAAGGTCTCCCTCTGTTGCCAGGCTGGAGTGCAGTGGCATGAATAATAGCTCACTGCAGCCCCGATCTCCTGGGTTGAAGTGATCCTCTTGCTACAGCCTCCCAAGTAGCTAGGACTACAGGTCGATGCCACCATACTTGGCTAAATTTTAATTTTTAGTAGAGACAAGGTCTCGCTATGCTGCCCAGGCTGGTCTTGAGCTCCTGGGCTCCAGTGATAGGCCCACCTCAGCCTCCCAAAGTGCTGGGATTATGGATGTGAGCCACCACACCCAGCCTCTTTTCTTTTTCTTTTTCTTTTTTATTTATTTATGTTTGAGACGGAGTCTCGCTGTGTCGCCCAGGCTGGGGTGCAGTGGTGCGATCTCGGCTCACTGCAAGCTCCGCCTCCTGGGTTCACGCCATTCTCCTGCCTCAGCCTCCGAGTAGCTGGGACTACAGGCGCCCGCCACCACGCCCGGCTAGTTTTTTGTATTTTTAGTAGAGACGGGGTTTCACCATGTTAGCCAGGGATGGTCTCGATCTCCTGACCTTATGATCCACCCGCCTCGGCCTCCCAAAGTGCTGGGATTACAGGCCTGAGCCACCGCGCCCGGCCTTTCTTTTTCTTTTTATATTAAATTATTTTAGACAGGGTCTCACTGTGTCACTGGAGTGCAGTGGCGCAGTCACGGCTCACTTCAGTTTTAACCTCCCTGGGCTCAGGTGATCCTCCTACCTCAGTCTCCCAAGTAGCTGGGACTATAGACATGTGCCACCATGCCCAGCTAATTTTTTGGGGGTTACTTTTTGTAGAGATGGGTTTCTCCACATTGTTTAGGCTGGTCTCAAACATTCTACCTGCCTCAGCCTCCCAAAGTGTTGGTACTACAGGTGTGAGCCAACCAGCCGTACCCAGCCTTTTTTTTTTTTTAGAGACAGGATGTCGCTCTGTTACCCAGGCTGGAGTGCAGTAGTGTAATCATAACTCATTGCAGCCTTGAACTCCTGTGCTTACCCAATCCTCTTACTTCAACTTCCCAAGTAGCTAGAATTACAGGCACATGTCACCATGCCCAGCTAATTTTTAAATATTTTATAGAGATGGGGTCTTGCTACGTTGCTCAGGCTGGTCTCGAACTCCTGGCCTCAAGTGATCTTTCCACCTCGGCCTCCCCAAATGCTGGGATTATAGGCATGAGCCACTGTGCCTGGCCTAATTTTATAATGTTTTAATGTCACTCATTATAAATACTTTCTTTTTTTTTTGAGACAGAGTCTCGCTCTGTTGCCTAGGTTGGAGTACAATGGTGCAGTTTTGGCTCAATGCAACCGCCACTTCCCGGGTTCAAGCGACTCTCCTGCCTCAGCCTCCTGAGTAGCTGGGATTACAGGCATGCACCACCATGCCCAGATCATTTTTTGTATTTTTAGTAGAGACGGGGTTTCACCATGTTGCCTAGGCTGGTCTCAAACTCTGGGCCTCAAGCGATCTGCCCTCCTCGGTCTCCCAAAGTGCTGGGATTACAGGCGTGAGCCACCGTGCCTGGGCCCATAAATAAATTTTAAAAAAGGCTTTCTAGAAAAACACTTCATACACACACAAAAAGATTCTAAAAATATGAATTTTAGGAGCAGTGAAAGATATATTTTTGGAAAGATTGGATTTTTGCTGATTCTCTAAAAACAGCTGTTAGCTATTCCATCTACAACAAAACTCATTCCTGATGAGACCATAAATGAATATTTTTACTTTTGAATTAATAAGATAAATTATATTTGGTAAGCTGAGGAAGGCATATATGTTAAGGAAGTAAATTCCGGTACATATACCCTGACAACAGCATCTGGCTGTAGTTTTGTGGAAAAATTCCAGAGTGTTTCTGGGATGGGTAATAATTCTCTTTCACCTGTTCAGCTATTGCTGGTAGTTTTTCCTTAGTCCTAATAGTCCATGTTATACCAATGAGAAGACAGTAGTACTTCTGAAGCAATGGTTTCCAAACTTTTGGATTTCAGTGACTAAAACAATAAAAAAAATCTTGATCAACCTTAGATTGTTGGGTTTTTTTTCTAGTTTTTTTATTGAGGTTGTCATTTTCTAAGATTTCCAAATAAGGCTTGATATTAAGTAAACCATTTATGAACATAATCCTTTTGTGAAAGAAATGGCATTTTAACCCCAAAGGATTACAAAGATTATAATTTTAGAATAAAAGAGAGTCCGTTAAATTAAATCTATTTAGCTTTAAGTAATGCTCTGTGAACTGTTCTATTTTTCTTCTTCTGCTGAGGACCCCTCATGGACTAATACTGATTCCTCAGTTACAAGGTCTATTGTTTTGGGCTATTTACCTCAAGCCAAGAATGAGCTCTGCAGTGTAGTCCAGGGTATCATACACAAATGATCATTTTATATGTTGCCTTAATTTGAAAAGGGTGGTATTCCACTGGTCTAGCACAGAGGCTCTCAATGTGTGCTCCCTGGACAGCAACATCAGTATCATCTGGGAACCTATTAGAAAGGCAAATTCTCAAGCCCATCTCAGACTTACTAAAATCAGAAACTCTAGGGGAAGCATCCAGCAGTCTGTTATCATAAGCTTTCTAGGTGATCCTGAGGAGAACACCAGTTTGCGAACACTACTATAAGGAACAGAGGTCTGGACCTGAGAGTTGAAAAGCCTATGTTCAGTTTCTATCTTTCACTAACTACAACCTTTTTTTTTTTTTTTTTGAGATGGAGTTTCACTCTTGTTGCCCAGGCTGGAGTGCAGTGGCACAATCTCAGCTCACTGCAGTGTCTGCCTCCCGGGTTCAAGCAATTCTCCTGCCTCAGCTTCCTGAGTAGCTGGGATTACAGGTGCCTGCCACCATGCCCAGCTAATTTTTTGTATTTTTAGTGGAGATGGGGTTTCGCCATGTTGGCCAGGCTAGTCTTGAACTCCTGACCTCAGGTGATCTGCTTCCCAAAGTGCTGGGATTACAGGCATGAGTCACCACGCCCGGCCTACAACCTTGAATGAATCACACACAATGTCTTCATGTTCTACTTGCCCTACCTATAGAAAAGATAAAATCGGTTTCCTGCAGCACAAGGTAGTTTTGAAAATAAGTATGTGAAGGCTCCCCAAGTTCCTCACAGATAAGTCAACATGACACTATCCTTCCAAAGTGGTGGTAATAACAACTTCACCCTGTTTTCATCAAGCTACTCCAAACTGTCATACTCATAAAATATTCTAAGCCTGTTTTTCAAGGTTTGAATCACTCTACCCAACTTGGTGATATTAAATATTTAATGAGTATAGTTTTTATTCATTCATTCAATCCTGAACAAGAACTTTAAGCAGTACTAAGCCTAGTATCATTTTTCCTGAAAAAACTATATTTTTATTAGCTTTGAAGCACTCATTAGCTTTCCTCTCCCTTTCTTGAAAATTCTTCTAAGAAACTGTACATTTATATAAAGAAAGTAGACTTAAATAGAACTTTGGGTAAATGCAAAAAATTTACTAAACCCATACAAATTTACTGATTATGTTCCCTGTTTTCTCTACCATCACTTATTTTAATATAAGAATAGTATTCTTAACTCTCCCAAGATAAAACATGATTTTCTCAGAACAATTTAAGTAATACCTTCTGCAGTTCCCTATGAAAATAACTATGCCAGACACTGAATCCCAAGTTCCACTGACATCTACAGAATCATCCTTTTATCTACTAGACTCATTTATGCTTATGGAAGGCATAGGTAGTTTTAAGTAGATTAAACAAATTTTCATTTGAAAAGTTTGCCTTGCCCCTTGTGAGCTGAGGCATTATTCTAATTTTTTCACAAGTGCCACAGATAACTCCATGTAGGTGGAATCTGTTATGGTCTTCACATATCCAGTCCAACTATACACACACACATATACACACACACACACACACACACACGCACACACAAATATAGTGTTTTGGAATCATTGTTTTAGAAAAACAGATTAAATATTAGATTAAAAAGTAGATTAAAACCCCCCAAACTTAAATCTAATCTTAGTGATGTTCACATTTATGGCCATCTGCCTCAGTTTCACGACTTTTTTTGTTTGTTTTTGTTTTTTTGAGACGGAGTCTCTCTCTGTCGCCCAGGCTGGAGTGCACAATCTTGGCTCACTACAACTTCTGCCTCCTGCATTCAAGCAATTCTCTTGCCTCAGCCTCCTAAGTAGCTGTGACTACAGGCACGTGCCACCACGCCCAGCTAATTTTTTGTATTTTTAGTAGAGACGGGGTTTCACCATGTTAGCCAGGATGGTCTCGATCTCCTGACCTTGTTGTGATCCACCCACCTCGGCCTCCCAAAGTGCTGGGATTACAGGCGTGAGCCACTGCGCCCAGCCTATTTTTTCTTAACCTAAGACTTTTCTCCATATTGAGGTCATTCAAAGGGACAAGATATGGAAAATTCTCAGAGACTATCAATATTATACCAGTTATCCAATAAAATAACCATCCAACATCAAACCAAACCCAAAACACCAGAAGCCTAAAGACTTACTTACCAATGACAGGGTTGCTATTTCTGTGAGCTGGTTTAGGGGGAGGGATAGGGGGCTGCTTGGCAGGGACCATATGAGTGAGGCTTAAGGTAGCAGTAGTGTTAGTGCTGGCAGGAGTAGCAGGCAGAATCCTGGGTGCTGGGGAAGGAGTGACAGACAGATTAACAGTCTTTGCGAGGCTTGTGGCAGCAGTGGTGGCAGCGGGTGCTGTGGTGATGGAGGTGGAGATGATGAACCTTGCCATGCCGCCAGAGGAAGTGGCATCCTTTGCTTGACCTTCATTTGCTTCATGAGAAGAGGACAAGGGTCTTTTGGGAGGAAGTAAAGGTTGTTTGGGTACATTCTCAGGAACAGACTCTGCTTCAGAATTAGGCTGGCTTCCAGTTGAGCCTGTGTAATAACATGTATGATATAAAAAGGGAAGAGAGAGTAACAAGAGAGACTGAAAAAGCTAACACATCTATGAATTTATGGCCAATTTCACCAATTAATTTATAGATTAGCTCATAGGTTACCGTTCTCGATGCCTCCCAACCTCCCCATACTTAGGAAATGTCAGTAAGAAAGGCTCAGTAAGAGATGCTCATTGTGGTAGTGATTCTTCACACGAGGGCTAGGCTACTGGAGGAGAGCCACAACAAAATTCCTTGGGTGAAAGAAGTGGAATGTGTAGCTGGAAAAAATCCTATAGGTATCTGATACTAAACATCCTCTTCCCTTCTTGAGGATCACAAATTTGGTATTTTGTGAATAAAAGTGGAGCAGGGGAGGAAATTCCCCTTAAAGTTGCTAATTAAGGTATTGCTAAAGGAGAATGTAATTCTCTCTAGATTTTACTTTTCCCTATTCTCTTGCAAACTCCTTATGTAAAGGAGAATAACTGGCTCATGGCTCTTAAACTCAAAAATCCAGAGTTTCTTACCTAGTTGTTTCTTTAGGTCCTCTTCTGGAATAGCTTTCCTAAGACTTGCTAATCTTACTGGCTCTTCTTCTACTTGGACTGGACTAGATGATGTAGCATTCCCTACAGGGGTGGTATGGCCATTCTTTAACATGGCATGGCTTGGCTTTCCTGGATCCTCACCACCTGCAAGGTCAAAGAAGAGTACAAAGTGATGAAGTTGGCATGAACAGATAGAAGAGTTAGTAATTTCTTTTCTTCTTTTTCTCTCTTTTTAAAATTGAGACAGGGTCTCACTATGTTGCCCAGGCTGGTCTTGAACTCCTGGGCTCAAGCAATCTGCCCGCCTTGGCCTCCCAAAATGCTAGGATGAATGGCATGAACCACTGCACCTGGCCAGAGTTGGTGATTTGAGACAGGGTCTCACAGACCAGGCTGGAGTGCAGTGGCATGATTTTGGCTCACTGCAGCCTCTGCCTCCCAGGCTGAAGTGATCTTCCTGCTTCAGCCTCCCAAATGGCTGGGACCACAGGTGTGTGCCTCCACACCTAGCTAATTTTTTTTATTTTTGATGGAGATAGGGTCTCACTATGTTGCCTAGGCTGGTATCGAACACCTGGGCTCAAGTGATCCACCCGCCTCGGCCTCCAAAAGTGCTGGGATTATAGGCGTGGGCCATAGCACCTGGACCAGAGTTGGTAATTTCTTTTTTTTTTTTTTGAGACGGAGTCTCGCTCTGCCACCTAGGCTGGAGTGCAATGGCACAATCTCGGCTCACTGCAAGCTCTGCCTCCTAGGTTCATGCCACTCTCCTGCCTCAGCCCCGAGTAGCTAGGACTACAGGCGCCTGCTACCACACCTGGCTAATTTTTTGTATTTTTTAGTGGAGACGGGGTTTCACCGTGTTAGCCAGGATGGTCTTGATCTCCTGACCTTGTGATCCGCCTGCCTCGGCCTCCCAAAGTGCTGGGATTACAGGCGTGAGCCACCGCGCTCAGCCCAGGGTTGGTGATTTCTAAACTTTCTTATCTTCTTTCCCCCGTCTTCCTGTTTTAGTTTATTATTGAGATCTAGATTATCTGGATGCTTAAACAGAAATAAGTAATTTCTTTTTCCAATACATGTTTGATAGGCTATTATGTGCCAAGTATGTTGTTATATGAATAAGACCAATAAAAGCCAGGCGCAGTGTCTCACCTGTAATCTCAGCACTTTGGGAGGCTGAGGCAGGTGGATCACCTGAGGTCAAGAGTTCGAGATCAGCCTGGCTAACATGATGAAACCTTGTCTCTACTAAAAATACAAAAATTAGCCAGGTATAGTGGCAGGTGCCTGTAATCCCAGCTACTCAGGAGGCTGAGGCAGGAGAATCAATTGAACCCAGGAGGCAGAGGTTGCAGTAAGCCAAGATTGCATCATTGCACTCCAGCCTGGGCAACAGAGCAAAACTTCCAACTCAAAGAAAAAAAAAAAAAAGACAGATGAATAGGGCAAACTTATTATATATAAGTAACTACAATGTTAAATGTCAAGAGCTCTAATTAGTGAAGTACTGTGGTAGGAATGAAGAATAAGTCATTCTCCTGGAGTAAGAACAGAGTTAGGAAGGCATCACAGAAAGTATCTGAGCTGGAGTTGAGATGGTCTTGCTATGTTACCAGGATGGGTCTTGAACTCCTGGGCTCAAGCAATCCTCCTCTCTCAGACTCCCTATTAGATGGGACTATGGCACACACCACCATGCCTTGCTTTTAACTGGATCGTGAAGGAGTAGGAGCCTACCATACTGAATAAAGACAGTCTGTTTGGAAGAAGCATAGCATGTATAAAGGTGTGAAGTTATTCAACATGTTTGGGGCACTGGCAACTAGTTTGGTCTGGCAGGAGAATAGATTCACATAAGAAATGGTTATGGGGGGCTGGGTGCAGTGGCTCACACCTGTAATCCCAACACTTTGGGAGGCCGAGGCGGGTGGATCACCTGAGGTCAGGAGTTTGAGACCAGCCTCGCCAATACAGTGAAACCCTGTCTCTACTAAAAATACAAAAATTAGTTGGGTGTGGTGGCAGGCACCTGTAATCCCAGCTACTTGGGAGGTGAGGCAATAGACTCCATCTCAAAAAAAAAAAAAAGAAAAAAAAAGAAATGGTTATGGGCTGGGCACAGCAGTGCTCATGCCTATAATTCCAACAATTTGGGAGGCTGAGGTGGGAGGATTGCTTGAGCCCAAGAGTTTGAGATCAGCCTGCGAAACATAGTGAGACCCTGTCTCTACGAAAAAGTAAAAAAACTAGCTGGGTGTGGTGGCACGCACCTAGTCCCAGCTAACTGGGAGGCTAAGGTGGGAGGACTGTCTGAACCCAGGAGGTCAAGGGTGCAGTAAGCTATGATCAGACCCCTGGTCTCTAGCCTGGGTGACAGAGTGATATCTAGCATCATTCTTCATGAAGTTCCAATAAGAGGTGGAGTGTGGGCTCAAAGTAATGAAGATTCTAAGGCAAGTGAAAAGGTACTTCAAAAGCCAAAGTAATCTGACAACTACTTTTTACTTTTAAAACAAGGTGGTGGTAAGATGACAACAACTATACAAAAATAGTAAGTTACTGCCCATGTTTAACAAAAACAAGATTTTCTAGAATATCGAAGCAATGATTTCAAAGCCAACAAAGACTGCTCTTTGTGAAAACAACATAATCAAAGTTTAAGACGGTGTTAATTAGTTTCTACTCAGTACACACTAGTAAAATACATGTAAAACTGATCAGTTATCTCAAGTTACTTAATCAGGGATGTCTACTTTGCAGTATCATTTCTTTTTTTTTTTTTTTTTTTTT